ACCGTGAGTGAACCATTATGGCTGGTCCACCGTGAGTGAACCATTATGGCTGGTCCACCGTGAGTGAACCATTATGACCGTGAGTGAACCATTATGGCTGGTCCACCGTGAGTGAACCATTATGGCTGGTCCACCGTGAGTGAACCATTATGGCTGGTCCACCGTGAGTGAACCATTATGGCTGGTCCACCGTGAGTGAACCATTATGGCTGGTCCACCGTGAGTGAACCATTATGGCTGGTCCACCGTGAGTGAACCATTATGGCTGGTCCACCGTGAGTGAACCATTATGGCTGGTCCACCGTGAGTGAACCATTATGGCTGGTCCACCGTGAGTGAACCATTATGGCTGGTCCACCGTGAGTGAACCATTATGGCTGGTCCACCGTGAGTGAACCATTATGGCTGGTCCACCGTGAGTGAACCATTATGGCTGGTCCACCGTGAGTGAACCATTATGGCTGGTCCACCGTGAGTGAACCATTATGGCTGATCCACCGTGAGTGAACCATTATGGCTGGTCCACCGTGAGTGAACCATTATGGCTGGTCCACCGTGAGTGAACCATTATGGCTGGTCCACCGTGAGTGAACCATTATGGCTGGTCCACCGTGAGTGAACCATTATGGCTGGTCCACCGTGAGTGAACCATTATGGCTGGTCCACCGTGAGTGAACCATTATGGCTGGTCCACCGTGAGTGAACCATTATGGCTGAGTCCACCGTGAGTGAACCATTATGGCTGGTCCACCGTGAGTGAACCATTATGGCTGGTCCACCGTGAGTGAACCATTATGGCTGAGTGAACCATTATGGCCACCGTGAGTGAACCATTATGGCTGGTCCACCGTGAGTGAACCATTATGGCTGATCCACCGTCCACCGTGAGTGAACCATTATGGCTGATCCACCGTGAGTGAACCATTATGGCTGGTCCACCGTGAGTGAACCATTATGGCTGGTCCACCGTGAGTGAACCATTATGGCTGGTCCACCGTGAGTGAACCATTATGGCTGGTCCACCGTGAGTGAACCATTATGGCTGGTCCACCGTGAGTGAACCATTATGGCTGGTCCACCGTGAGTGAACCATTATGGCTGATCCACCGTGAGTGAACCATTATGGCTGGTCCACCGTGAGTGAACCATTATGGCTGAGTCCACCGTGAGTGAACCATTATGGCTGGTCCACCGTGAGTGAACCATTATGGCTGGTCCACCGTGAGTGAACCATTATGGCTGGTCCACCGTGAGTGAACCATTATGGCTGGTCCACCGTGAGTGAACCATTATGGCTGATCCACCGTGAGTGAACCATTATGGCTGGTCCACCGTGAGTGAACCATTATGGCTGGTCCACCGTGAGTGAACCATTATGGCTGGTCCACCGTGAGTGAACCATTATGGCTGATCCACCGTGAGTGAACCATTATGGCTGGTCCACCGTGAGTGAACCATTATGGCTGGTCCACCGTGAGTGAACCATTATGGCTGATCCACCGTGAGTGAACCATAATGACTGGTCCACCGTGAGTGAACCATTATGGCTGGTCCACCGTGAGTGAACCATTATGGGTCCACCGTGAGTGAACCATTATGGCTGGTCCACCGTGAGTGAACCATTATGGCTGGTCCACCGTGAGTGAACCATTATGGCTGGTCCACCGTGAGTGAACCATTATGGCTGGTCCACCGTGAGTGAACCATTATGGCTGGTCCACCGTGAGTGAACCATTATGGCTGGTCCACCGTGAGTGAACCATTATGGCTGGTCCACCGTGAGTGAACCATTATGGCTGGTCCACCGTGAGTGAACCATAATATCCACCGGAGTGAACCATGGGTCCACCGTGAGTGAACCATTATGGCTGGTCCACCGTGAGTGAACCATTATGGCTGGTCCACCGTGAGTGAACCATTATGGCTGGTCCACCGTGAGTGAACCATTATGGCTGGTCCACCGTGAGTGAACCATTATGGCTGGTCCACCGTGAGTGAACCATTATGGCTGGTCCACCGTGAGTGAACCATTATGGCTGGTGAGTGAACCATTATGGCTGGTCGTGAGTGAACCATTATGGCTGGTCCACCGTGAGTGAACCATTATGGCTGGTCCACCGTGAGTGAACCATGAACCATATGGCTGGTCCACCGTGAGTGAGCCATTATGGCTGGTCCACCGTGAGTGAACCATTATGGCTGGTCCACCGTGAGTGAACCATTATGGCTGGTCCACCGTGAGTGAACCATTATGGCTGGTCCACCGTGAGTGAACCATTATGGCTGATCCACCGTGAGTGAACCATTATGGCTGATCCACCGTGAGTGAACCATTATGGCTGGTCCACCGTGAGTGAACCATTATGGCTGATCCACCGTGAGTGAACCATTATGGCTGGTCCACCGTGAGTGAACCATTATGGCTGGTCCACCCACCGTGAGTGAACCATTATGGCTGGTCCACCGTGAGTGAACCATTATGGCTGGTCCACCGTGAGTGAACCATTATGGCTGGTCCACCGTGAGTGAACCATTATGGCTGGTCCACCGTGAGTGAACCATTATGGCTGGTCCACCGTGAGTGAACCATTATGGCTGGTCCACCGTGAGTGAACCATTATGTCCACCGTGAGTGAACCATTATGGCTGGTCCACCGTGAGTGAACCATTATGGCTGGTCCACCGTGAGTGAACCATTATGGCTGGTCCACCGTGAGTGAACCATTATGGCTGGTCCACCGTGAGTGAACCATTATGGCTGATCCACCGTGAGTGAACCATTATGGCTGATCCACCGTGAGTGAACCATTATGGCTGATCCACCGTCCACCGTGAGTGAACCATTATGGCTGATCCACCGTGAGTGACCCATTATGGCTGGTCCACCGTGAGTGAACCATTATGGCTGATCCACCGTGAGTGAACCATTATGGCTGGCTCCACCGTGAGTGAACCATTATGGCTGATCCACCGTGAGTGAACCATTATGGCTGGTCCACCGTGAGTGAACCATTATGGCTGATCCACCGTCCACCGTGAGTGAACCATTATGGCTGATCCACCGTGAGTGAACCATTATGGCTGCCATTATGGCTGATCCACCGTGAGTCCATTATGGCTGGTCCACCGTGAGTGAACCATTATGTGAGTGAACCATTATGGCTGGTCCACCGTGAGCGAACCATTATGGCTGGTCCACCGTGAGTGAACCATTATGGCTGGTCCACCGTGAGTGAACCATTATGGCTGATCCACCGTGAGTGAACCATTATGGCTGGTCCACCGTGAGTGAACCATTATGGCTGGTCCACCGTGAGTGAACCATAATGGCTGATCCACCGTGAGTGAACCATTATGGCTGATCCACCGTGAGTGAACCATTATGGCTGGTCCACCGTGAGTGAACCATTATGACTGGTCCACCGTGAGTGAACCATTATGGCTGATCCACCGTGAGTGAGCCATTATGGCTGGTCCACCGTGAGTGAACCATTATGGCTGATCCACCGTGAGTGAACCATAATGGCTGATCCACCGTGAGTGAACCATAATGGCTGGTCCACCGTGAGTGAACCATTATGGCTGGTCCACCGTGAGTGAACCATTATGACTGGTCCACCGTGAGTGAACCATTATGACTGGTCCACCGTGAGTGAACCATTATGGCTGGTCCACCGTGAGTGAACCATTATGGCTGGTTCACCGTGAGTGAACCATTATGGCTGATCCACCGTGAGTGAACCATAATGGCTGATCCACCGTGAGTGAACCATAATGGCTGGTCTACCGTGAGTGAACCATAATGGCTGGTCCACCGTGAGTGAACCATTATGGCTGGTCCACCGTGAGTGAACCATAATGGCTGATCCACCGTGAGTGAACCATTATGGCTGGTCCACCGTGAGTGAACCATAATGGCTGATCCACCGTGAGTGAACCATAATGCCTGGTCCACCGTGAGTGAACCATTATGGCTGGTCCACCGTAAGTGAACCATTATGGCTGGTCCACCGTGAGTGAACCATTATGGCTGGTCCACCGTGAGTGAACCATTATGGCTGGTCCACCGTGAGTGAACCATTATGGCTGGTCCACCGTGAGTGAACCATTATGGCTGGTCCACCGTGAGTGAACCATAATGGCTGATCCACCGTGAGTGAACCATAATGGCTGGTCCACCGTGAGTGAACCATTATGGCTGGTCCACCGTGAGTGAACCATAATGGCTGGTCCACCGTGAGTGAACCATTATGGCTGGTCCACCGTGAGTGAACCATTATGGCTGGTCCACCGTGAGTGAACCATTATGGCTGGTCCACCGTGAGTGAATCATTATGGCTGGTCCACCATGAGTGAACCATTATGGCTGGTCCACCGTGAGTGAACCATTATAACTGCATCACGGAGCGTGAGGTGTTACGTCAGGGTTCAACATGCCTCAGACATCATGTCAAGGGACGTGAGGCATTACACTATGGTATAGATTTGGTTGGAATGTCTTCCACAACACGGCCTTGAGCACTCCCCATCCTTCTACCTCCCCCATACTGTCCAAACCCTTTGGACATCAGAGCTAAAGGCCTCGAGCACCACTGTCACCCACCTCCACCTCCTGGAGCGCCACTGTCACCCACCTCCACCTCCTGGAGCGCCACTGTCACCCACCTCCACCTCCTGGAGCGCCACTGTCACCCACCTCCACCTCCTGGAGCGCCACTGTCACCCACCTCCACCTCCTGGAGCGCCACTGTCACCCACCTCCACCTCCTGGAGCGCCACTGTCACCCACCTCCACCTCCTGGAGCGCCACTGTCACCCACCTCCACCTCCTGGAGCGCCACTGTCACCCACCTCCACCTCCTGGAGCACCACTGTCACCCACCTCCACCTCCTGGAGCACCACTGTCACCCACCTCCACCTCCTGGAGCGCCACTGTCACCCGCCTCCACCTCCTGGAGCACCACTACGGTTCATATAGATGAGCCGGCGCGAGACTCACCTTTCTTGGTCTCTGGGGACTTCTTCACGCCGCCTTTGGGAACCGTCAGTCTGGCGAACTCGGCCTCGTCTGTAAATTCCAGGCCTCCGCTGAACACTTTCTTCCGGTCCTCCTCTGAGATCACTCGGTTAGGCGGCCTGGAAATGTGGCGATGTTATGTGAGGTATACAACATAGGTGTTATGTGGGGTGTTAACGAGGGGGGAGGGTGTTAATGAGGGGAAGGTGTTAACGATATTATGGACAAACTTGTATGTGGTGCAGAATGTGTTAAATATTTCACACATGGCGGGGACTGCCAGCGATACATATCTTTGTACATATTATACAAATATAGTAATTAATTCGTATTGAACTTTAGCAGCTGAGAAACATGACAAAGTTAAGAAAGCTTTCTATAACGACAGTGAAGCCATTCCTGCATGTAGGGAAGATATATGTATGTATATATATATATATATATATATATATATATATATATATATATATATATATATATATATATATATATATATATATATATATATATATATATATATATATATATATATTTTAGACTGTTCACTTACTTTGTGGTGGTAGTTTCTATTTCTCGTAGAAGTAAATTGGCTATATGCTCGTCTATTGGATACGGGAAGCTCGCAGACGTCTCAGGAATGACAAAATTAGGGCTTGGCGGAAACTGCACTGACGTTTCTTCTCCTGGCTGTGGGAAGATGCTGCTTGCTGGGCCTGGGAATTGGCCTCTTGAAGAGGGAAACTGAATTGGTGATGAAGCGAACGGATTAGTGCCAGAGCCTTGGAATGATGACATGAAGTTTGTGAAGGTGTTTGCGGTACTTCCAGTACCAGGCCTGACCTGTGGAGGGACTTCGGCACCAGAAAAGAAGGCATTATTAGCGCCAAAATTGAAATCAGGAACGGCGGACCCACCGAACGTCGGAGCTCCTGGGGCACTTAACCCTAGGCCTTGTGGTGATCTCCCGAAAATCAAATCTCCTGCGGCATTAAACTCTTGACCTGTTAGTCCAGGGAAATCTAGACCGGCTGATCCACTGAATGTTGGAAATGGAGGAGAATCTCGACCTCCTAAACCGGGTGAGGCTTCCGGGAACCCGAATGATGAGGACCCTGAGGGAGATTTGGCGCCTCCCACTTTAGTGGCGCCCCTGCCGGCTCCACCCTTACGGCTTCCTGGGGACCCTGGCCTTGTGCTCTCGAAGCCCGCACTCCCGCTGAACTGAAAGGCCTGAATCTCCTCGTCAGTCTCGCTCCTCTCCGTGGTAGCCGCTTCCAAGAAAGAATCAGGGCCTCCTCCAAAACCTGGAAAACCTCTTGGGCCACCGAAGGTCCTGGAGCCTCCTTTTCTTGATTTTAACGATTGTGGAGACCTGAACGATCCCGTGGAAGACGCTGCCGGGAATCCTCCGAAGTTTGGGAATTGTGATGGCCTATGGGAGAGAAATAAATATATCAATAATAAAAATAATTTACTCTTTTTATATGACCTACAAGTAGAGTATTGTTAAATGGGAAAATTCAGAGATTATACAGTGACATCTAGTATTAATACTAGATGTCCAGTCCTTAATACTAGACTGGACATCTAGTATTAAGGGGCGGAAGTGAAAGGACGTCCTCAGTAACTAGACCACAAAATGGTGGAGGGAGAGGTTGTGTTGGACAGTAGCCCATCCTCTTGTTTAGAAAGTACTTATAGTAACTGAGCACTATCGTAGAAATATTGAAGTAAATCTCAGTTAGAAAGTAGAAATTGGTACCATTGAATTTGTACAAACGGAAAACATTTGCGTACTGATGTTGCAAACCAAACCTAACCTAACCTTCCTAGGCATCATACATGCTATCTGAGGACTCATAGCTCAACCTTGACGACGAGCGGACGTCTAGACATCCCCCCCCCCCCGCCTGGGAACCGCCGGATCTCGTTCTGTTTCGCGATTTTAGATTATGATACTGTCGTTTGGCATCAATATTCAACTGTCCGGGATGTTATGACTCCTGGCACACGTATCGCCTTGGGTTACAGGATAGTTGATGGATAGTTGACCACACTAACATGTGGTCACTCCACACTAACATGTGGTCACTACACACTAACATGTGGTCACTACACACTAACATGTGGTCACTACACACTAACATGTGGTCACTACACACTAACATGTGGTCACTACACACTAACATGTGGTCACACTACACTAACATGTGGTCACTCCACACTAACATGTGGTCACTCCACACTAACATGTGGTCACTCCACACTAACATGTGGTCACTCTACACTAACATGTGGTCACTACACACTAACATGTGGTCACACTACACTAACATGTGGTCACTCCACACTAACATGTGGTCACACTACACTAACATGTGGTCACTCCACACTAACATGTGGTCACACTACACTAACATGTGGTCACTCCACACTAACATGTGGTCACTACACACTAACATGTGGTCACTACACACTAACATGTGGTCACACTACACTAACATGTGGTCACTCCACACTAACATGTGGTCACTACACTAACATGTGGTCACTACACACTAACATGTGGTCACACTACACTAACATGTGGTCACTCCACACTAACATGTGGTCACTCTACACTAACATGTGGTCACTACACTAACATGTGGTCACTACACTAACATGTGGTCACTCTACACTAACATGTGGTCACTACACTAACATGTGGTCACTACACTAACATGTGGTCACTACACTAACATGTGGTCACTCTACACTAACATGTGGTCACACTACACTATCATGTGGTCACACTACACTAACATGTGGTCACTCTACACTAACATGTGGTCACTCTACACTAACATGTGGTCACTACACTAACATGTGGTCACACTACACTAACATGTGGTCACTACACACTAACATGTGGTCACTACACACTAACATGTGGTCACTACACACTAACATGTGGTCACTCCACACTAACATGTGGTCACTACACACTAACATGTGGTCACTACACACTAACATGTGGTCACACTACACTAACATGTGGTCACTCCACACTAACATGTGGTCACTACACTAACATGTGGTCACACTACACTAACATGTGGTCACTACACACTAACATGTGGTCACTACACACTAACATGTGGTCACTACACACTAACATGTGGTCACTCCACACTAACATGTGGTCACTACACACTAACATGTGGTCACTACACACTAACATGTGGTCACTCCACACTAACATGTGGTCACTCCACACTAACATGTGGTCACTCCACACTAACATGTGGTCTGTTACGAACCCGGATCCAGCGTCCGTGCCTGGAGCAGTGACAAACACGCCATCTGTGGGTCAGCTCCCGAAACCCCCGCCAAACGAACGACGACACCTAGTGAGGACAGCGTGTACTGGCCTCGAGGACCAGTTTCCAGTCTGGTTCAGCGCTCAACACCGCCGCTCCTGACCTCTGGTGAGGTGGTGCTCCGACGACAGCGCCATCTAGGGAGTGGATATGTCGGGCGTTTGTATCTGAGCCTGTGAGTGTGGTGTATTAGTGTCCCAGTTATTGATGACGTGTCTGCTTACAGAGCCGACCTGGGACCACTGTGTTGAAGGTGAAGTCAGTCTACCCGAGGCAGCCAGTCTCCATACAGTGAAGTTTGCTGCAGCTGTCGTGACGTCGTCCCCCCGGAAGAACACTGTGGTGTGTTAGCCTGCCATTGGAGTGGCAGTTAAAGGATTTACCCGGGGCCGACGGTTGGAGACGATAATCCACTGGGGTATTGAGGACAGGAGGGTGATTGGTGATATCACACGAGACTCCTGTCTAGGGCGTACCCCTTTTATCGTTCGTGGAGTGGCCGTACCAGCCTTGGTGGCTCAGTACCTGCCAGCAGACCTGCTGGACGTGTGGTTGACGGCCTCCACGACGGTGCCCCCAGTGGACCTGTGTTGTGGCTGACCTGTGGCCAGGGTAGACTCGGCGTTGCCAGAGGACACGTCTTGAGGCCACGAAGAAAGCACCGCGGACTCAGCACCTAGCTTCAAGGATCCATAGTCTCCAGCTGAAGACTACAGTGTTGATCCCCTTTGTAAAGTGTTAATACCCCTCCCCCTTGTGTACGTTTTACTTTTATATATTTAAATGGTGATGGTGGACATTATATTATATTAAGTTCTTACCTTTCTTTCCCTACTCCCTTTAAGTTACTTGCGTCACGGATCGCATCCCTTGATAGCCTCTACTGGCTTGGGGCCGGATATATATCTTCCTCTAACTACATCAGAGTAAGAACCCCGTTGCGTCCCGAGAGGGCCGTAACATGGTCACACTACACTAACATGTGGTCACTCTACACTAACATGTGGTCACTACACACTAACATGTGGTCACTACACACTAACATGTGGTCACTCTACACTAACATGTGGTCACTCCACACTAACATGTGGTCACTACACACTAACATGTGGTCACACTACACTAACATGTGGTCACTCTACACTAACATGTGGTCACTACACACTAACATGTGGTCACTACACACTAACATGTGGTCACTACACACTAACATGTGGTCACTCCACACTAACATGTGGTCACTACACACTAACATGTGGTCACTACACACTAACATGTGGTCACTCCACACTAACATGTGGTCACTCCACACTAACATGTGGTCACTCCACACTAACATGTGGTCACACTACACTAACATGTGGTCACTCTACACTAACATGTGGTCACTACACACTAACATGTGGTCACTACACACTAACATGTGGTCACTCTACACTAACATGTGGTCACTCCACACTAACATGTGGTCACTACACACTAACATGTGGTCACACTACACTAACATGTGGTCACTCTACACTAACATGTGGTCACTCCACACTAACATGTGGTCACTACACACTAACATGTGGTCACTCTACACTAACATGTGGTCACTCTACACTAACATGTGGTCACTCCACACTAACATGTGGTCACTACACTAACATGTGGTCACTCCACACTAACATGTGGTCACTCCACACTAACATGTGGTCACTCCACACTAACATGTGGTCACTACACTAACATGTGGTCACTCTACACTAACATGTGGTCACTACACTAACATGTGGTCACTCCACACTAACATGTGGTCACTACACTAACATGTGGTCACTACACACTAACATGTGGTCACTACACTAACATGTGGTCACTACACTAACATGTGGTCACTCCACACTAACATGTGGTCACTACACTAACATGTGGTCACTCCACACTATCATGTGGTCACTACACTAACATGTGGTCACTACACTAACATGTGGTCACTCCACACTAACATGTGGTCACTACACTAACATGTGGTCACTCCACACTAACATGTGGTCACTCCACACTAACATGTGGTCACTACACACTAACATGTGGTCACTACACACTAACATGTGGTCACTACACACTATCATGTGGTCACTACACACTATCATGTGGTCACTACACACTAACATGTGGTCACTACACTAACATGTGGTCACTCCACACTAACATGTGGTCACTACACACTAACATGTGGTCACTACACACTAACATGTGGTCACTACACTAACATGTGGTCACTACACTAACATGTGGTCACTACACACCAACATGTGGTCACTACACTAACATGTGGTCACTACACACTAACATGTGGTCACTACACACTAACATGTGGTCACTACACACTAACATGAGGTCACTACACACCAACATGTGGTCACTACGCACTAACATGTGGTCACTACACACCAACATGTGGTCACTACACTAACATGTGGTCACTACACACCAACATGTGGTCACTACACTAACATGTGGTCACTACACACTAACATGTGGTCACTACACACTATCATGTGGTCACTACACACTATCATGTGGTCACTACACACTAACATGTGGTCACTACACTAACATGTGGTCACTCCACACTAACATGTGGTCACTCTACACTAACATGTGGTCACTACACACTAACATGTGGTCACTACACACTAACATGAGGTCACTACACACCAACATGTGGTCACTACACTAACATGTGGTCACTACATACTAACATGTGGTCACTACACACTAACATGTGGTCACTACACACTAACATGAGGTCACTACACACCAACATGTGGTCACTACACTAACATGTGGTCACTACACACCAACATGTGGTCACTACACTAACATGTGGTCACTACACACTAACATGTGGTCACTACACTAACATGTGGTCACTACACACTAACATGTGGTCACTACACTAACATGTGGTCACTACACACTAACATGTGGTCACTACACTAACATGTGGTCACTCCACACCAACATGTGGTCACTACACTAACATGTGGTCACTCCACACTAACATGTGGTCACTACACAC